CGTTTAACTTTCGCATTTCGTTCTTCGCTTTTTGTTTAAACTCAAGTAAACAAGTCACAAACGAATTGCGTTGACGAAAAATCATTTTAAACCATGGCACAACATAGAATCGTATATTTTAGTTGCAATTAATTCTAAATAAAATACTTCCGAAGAGATAGGATTAATTTTTTAATATCTTATATAATATTCTTTTCACATTGGCTTATTATTAACTGTTTTTTTTTTTGTTTTTTTGTTGTCATTTTAAATCGTTGAGCAATGATGTAAATTTCTGGTTGTTATATATCAGTTTCTCCTTCATTTAAATGTTTACTTACATATATATATATATATGTATGTATGTATGTATGTTCATAACATAGAATACACATTCTAATATTTGCTTATGTTATGTTGTTTACTGTTGAAATGTGTGATTATAATTTAAAGTGAGGATAAAATTATAATTACATAAAATGTAAAAATCTATAATTTAAATAAAAACAAAATAATAAGAATAACCTTCAGTGCGAGTACATTTTGTGTACGAGCGACTTTTAAATTTGGAAATCTGCTTGATTTGTGGACTTTTTTCTTCGATTTTGATTATGATTTTGAATTTTGTACGAAAAAAAAAAATAAAATTTCATCAGCCAGCGACTGATTGCCTCTTCTTTGTTCGTAGCGCCACTATTAAGAGTAATATTTTTATTTTTGAAAGAAATTACTTGGCTTAGATTTGGTGTTTTTAGTGAAAAGGCTTAGCCGCTGGGTTAATTATTGATATTATCGTTCATTTATTGCTTTGTTAATCAATTATTTTATTTCCGTTCTTACTATTTTTTTTTTTTGGTAATTTTTGCGGTGGTTGTGACTTTTGAATTTTGCTGAAATTTCACTAATTTTGGTTTATTGTTATATTTGTTGGTTTTGATTTTGTCGATCACTTGAATTGTTTATATTATAGTATTCGGTATTGTTTGCGATTGTAAGAGTTGTTGTTTTTTGCTTTAAATTTTGCCCATCGTTGTAACGATTATGTCCTTACTCTTGCTTTTGGCTGTTATTTTCTCTTTTGCTGTTGTTTGTTTGAAATCCAATTTTGGAAAATATAATTTAAGGCAGATTTTCATTTTTTTTTTTTTTTGTAATTTAGATGCATATTCATTTATGTATATTTACGTGCAGGAATGAATATAAGCATTATGGTTCCGAAAAATTAAAGTTAAGGTTAAGGAGAATTGAAAAGTATCTTTTTAACCAATTTAAAGAAAGCATAATTGCAAATAATAATTTACTTCAAATGTCGAAACTTTAATTTTTCACGACAGTTCCTCAATAAAAGTTTAAATTATTTTCACATTTTTAATCCGTTATTTTTTTCGGATAATTATTTTAGATTTTCCACAATAATTTACATTTTCGTTATCCTTTTAATTTATTTTGGGTTTTTAATTTTAGTATTTATATCGTTTATTTTTGTTTCTTAAAGATAAGGCGCGAAGGTGCTTAAAATAAGCTTGTACTTTTTTCGTGATATATTAAAATTTTACCATAGTTCCTCATGTTTGTCCATAAAATGCTTCCCAATTATTTTTCAGCGCTTTTCCACAATTTTGTTTCTACGAAATTTTGACTTCCAAAATTTGCAAATTTTGTTTTATTTTTTTAGTTTTGGCTTTAATTTTAATTATTTCTTTTTGTTATAATTTTTGTATTTTTTTTTTGTCCTTGACTTACACCGAGAGAGAATTATCCAAAGTTGGCCGAGAGGTTTCCTGAATTTGAGTTCCAGAAGTTTGTCATGATTTCCATTTTTGACCTTGTATTTTGTAAATCGAGTTCCAATTATACGCTTTTTCTGCCATTTTTGTCATGTTAAAAGTACAATTAATCAATTTTGTTAATATCCAAATTGGAGATTTATAGTGGCTTTTAGAAAAAAAAAATTCCTTCTATATTTGATTTGTTGTCATCAAAGGGATTCGAACTGAACTAATTCTGGAAAAACTATTTTATATTTGTAATATATATGTATATATATAATAAAATTCTGCCTGTAAATTATAATATTGTTTATTTTCACTTTTTGCGCATTTTAAAAATGTCTTTTCTTTTATTTTATACTGTTTAACGAGCATTAGTCAGAGGCGGAATTTTTCTCAGACAAAATTCCTAGCGAGAAAGTACGTCAGTGGGTATACGTCAGAGGATTGTGCAATTTTATATTTTTTTTTATATTTTTGTATTACATATAATTTTTGCATAGTTTTTGTTCCTTCGTAATTTTGTAAATTTCTTTATCTTTCTTTTAATATTATTTTGGTTTTTATTTTTTCTTTTTCCTTTTGGTTTGTCAACGTCCGAAAATGTACCTAAAGTGCCTAAAAGTACGTCTAAATTGTCAATTTCCTTTATTGTGTATACTTTCTATACTCGTATATTATATAGGAACATTACCGAAAGTTCTCCTGTTTCTTATTAGTTTTACACCTTATACCTAAAATTTTTAATATAAGTTAATTTGGGTTAATCATTTTAAATTAGTACACAACTTTGCTTAGTTTCATGGATTTTTTTTGTTCACATATTCTCTAACGTACCCCATCATCAGTAGATCTCTCGTTTTCATCTGAGCTCTTTGAATATCCGGTAATTTTTTTTTTTGTTTTTTTTGCAGTTTACTTCTTTTTATTCAATCACATTTGGTATTTTGTTTAATTAAGTTAACGTTTTATCCGGGAATATTCGTCTCTTTTAAAAGTCCGCATTTGCCATAAAAGTTTGCCAAAGTTATATCCAGGATATTAGTGCTTCTCACTTTCAAAGTTGCAGTTTCACATTCACTAATGTGAACTCTAATTTACCATTCACATATTTTTCCGTCCGCAAAAGTTCACATTAATATTATAATATTTATATTACGATATTTTTTCGTTTCTTTTTCTATCTAATCAAAGGAATTTATGCCAAAATCTTTATTTCAAGCCAAAAAGTTTATCACCAAAACTTTTTCATTGTTTACAAATTACAATACTTCTTAAATGGATATTTATATTTATGCGAAATTGAAGGAAAACGTAACCAAAGCATCAAGAAATGAATTTTCATAAAATAAAATGAAATTATATTGTGCAAGTTTTGAAATGTTTACGGTATTCACATTCCCAGATTGGCTTGCGCCGAAATGATGAAAAGGATCAAATTTGTCGAAAGGAAGAACGAATTTCGGAAAATTTTCCAAAAGGTCTGTAAGTCAGTACTAGAAGAGATGATCGATTAATAAAGAGGTTTTTAATCTAGTCACCTGATACTTACTCGCAAATTTTATGTATTCATTTCTAAATATATGTAGCCGTAAGTTGGCAGGAAAACGCATATACGATTAAGTACATATGTATACTCAAATATGTATTGCAGGCTTTCGGCTCAGCCAGTCTGGAATTGTTTGGTGTTTTAACATTATTCAGCCAAACTATGTATTTTTGTGCATTCTAGGTTATTTCTTTATGATTTTCAGTTTCAATTAATTGTGTGCGAGAGAAGTGATATTTCGAGAAACAGATATTTGAAAAAAATCATTTCTTTTAGTTATTCTAGGAAAATATATATTTTTTTTTGTCTTTGGACTGTGAAAAATATTGAAAATTAAAAATCTGAATAAATTATTTTTGGTGTTGTCAAATGTTGTAAACTTCTTATAATGGACACATTAATTTCTTTTGATAAATACGGTTATGCACTTACATATATAATACATAAATATGTTTATATTTTTATAATTATAGTTGTATGTATGTGTGTAATCTATAGACTTTATTCATATTACTATTAAAATAAAGAGCTGTCTTCAGCAAAAAAAAAAAATTAAAAAAACAAAAAAAAATATTTGTCCCAGAGTTTGTAACGATTTTGCAAAAAAGGTATTTTTTTACTTTCGAAAAGACAAACAATATCTGTAGCTGTCGCACAAAATAACGATGCTTGATGTATATATGTAAATATGTGGGTGTGTGAGTAGCTTTACGATTTGATTTTAGCGGAAACATGTATGTAATGGTGACAAATCTTACACGTTATTGTTAATATTAATAAATATATTTTTTGTGTTTTGTATGAATAGTTTTTTTTTTATTATAAATATATGTATGTGTGTATCTGATTTCATTGACGAGGGGAAGGGATTAATTTATATTCTTCATATTCATATTTGCTTCTCCTTTACGATTATGGATACTCTTTGAGCATTTGAGTTTGTAGAAGAACTTAATTCAATGGCATTGTGGTTTTATGTTTATTGATAATTTCGTATTGAATAACCGCTGTGTTATTGTTTTACTGATTTTAAATATTTTATTATCAATATACATATTTCAATTTTTTACCAATACAATTTCGTTATAAATGAATCTTTTTTTTTGTTTTATAAAACTTTTCTCTAATACTAATTTTTATATGTAGGAATGAATTTATTTCACTGTATGTCAATTGATAGTGGGGCTCGAAGTGTTGTGCTTTGTATCTCGACTCGAGGAATAAGTTTTTAAGCGAAATAAAAGGCGATTAAATTCCACATATTTCCACTATAGAAAATGTAAATTGTCTTTGTTCCTTCTTCGTAAGCAAGTGTAAGCGAAATGATTTGTTGTATTCCAAAGCCCGTTTTTAATCCGCTTAATACCCATATCCCTCTCAATTTTATAAATTGTGTGTATGAGTTTATAGTTTATATGGTAAGCTATAATATTTTAAGTTTCCTTACTTACTTTATCTACATATTGAATATTGTTGTATTTGTGAGTAATTTATGGCTGAGCGTGTGTGTATGTGTGTGTGTTTTCAAGTTTATCAGTTATGTATTTGCGTTTTTTAATTTGAAAAACCGACTCTATAACTTTGAAATTCGCTCACAAACAGTTTCAAAATTTTTCAATATTCAGTTGCATTCAGCATTTTTGTGTTCCATATTAAGTTTTCTTTTTTTTACTGTTTTGCTATTTTGTTTTTTTTTTTTTTTTGCTTTTTTTATATTAATTTCTCTTTCATTAGCTCGTTTTAATGCGTTGCCTTTGATTTGTTTTTGTAATTTCTTTAACTACACATTAACCTTATAAAAATGCTTATTTTATAATAATTTTCTTGTTAGAAATATTTTGGCACTATTGTTGGAAATAATTAATTGATTTGTGTTTAAAACATTCAATATTGGAAATGAAAAACCATTAAGGGCCAATAGTTTTGTTGTTCGAACTAATATAAACTTGAAATTATATTATAATATTATATGCAAATAATAATCATATGCAATTATTTGACTCGTTATATTTGATTTGCGATCAAATGCTGTTGGTTATTTTATTTTCAAAAATTGATGGTATTCTGGCAATTTTTTTAGTTATGTAGATAAATGTCCTTAGCAATGGAAATGCAAAGAATTTGGTGGTTTCACATAGAGTTACTATTTGAAATCACCGGAAGTTTGTACATCCATGTATACGTATGTATATGTAGTTAATTGGAGTTTAACTACTACGAAATGTAGGTAAATGTGTTTTGAATCAGTTAAATGTACATATTATACATATATACGAAGGAAGAAGGGAAATTTCTCGTGATAAATCTCAACGAATCTCAAACAGCATTTATTTATCTCTCTATCTGTTCCGAAACTTATTTCAATATTAACATAATTTCTTCTTTTTTTTTAACTTAAGGTAACGATTGCATTAACATTTTTAACATAATCGCTTGTTGTTGTATTAATTGAACTTAAATTCATGTAAAAATAATATGACGGTTGTAATAATTGATTTGTTAGCTGGCAAGTACCACACCTATGTAACACACTAAAATATCTAACAGGGGGTCTGCAGCCAGCTTCAATCACTTTGGTTTCATTGGACGATGCATACGGCAGAGTCTCGAAACGATCACTGACTGCAGTGTTCGCTACGGGACTCGGAGGCATGCGATACGCCATTAGCTATTGTAAAATGAGTTGGTAAATTTGGTGCTCAATTTATCTGTTTGAATGAGCGCCATTCCTGTGATATGCTATTGTAAAATATAAAAAAAATCAACGCTTTTAATCGGTTTGCTTATATGTTAATATTGACTTAGTTTACATGTACTCGTATGTTTTTGTTTTTGTTTTTTTTTTGATTTGGTTGTTTTGTTAGAATCAACATCTCCATTCGTTTTACTATTTCAATAAATATTTGTTCGTACAATTAAATGCACGTTGTGTGTTAGGTTTACCAATTTGATGATGAGTTTTCTCTTTTGGTCTTATTTGTATTATGTTTCATTATTATCTCTGTTAATTTTTATTTACATATAAACTATTAAAATATCTGATCACATTTGTTTGCAGTCTCTGTATACATATATGTAATATATATGTACATACATACATATGTATGTGGATAATGTTCATTATATTTTCATTCGTTTTACTACTTATTACAATATTATTTTCACAATTTGTTAAGTTTCATCTGACAAATTGTTGAAATGCATTAGCAAGTTTACTTTTATTTAAGTATAAATCAAAAAATTTCCTTTTTAATTAAACAAAAAATCTATCGAATTTCTTCAATATCCAATTGTATCCTTTGGCGTTCATACGCGGTAAGCGTATACTTTGATTTACTTATTGCAGTATATTGCAGTATATTGCAGTATACTGCGTTATTGCGTTTTTCGTTTGCTTCTATACTATAACCAATTGTCTTTGGCAATTCTGAACTCTTGAATATTCCAATTTCACTATCGTTCTGACAATTTTCCCCAAAGCTAGTGGATATGACAAGTGTGACAGCAATTAAACTAAATAAATGTTCTGTGTTGAAAACTTCACTGGGCTATTGCTTGTTATTTTATATTTCTCTTATTTGTTATGTTTATATAAATACATTATGATTGTACTATTGCGGTAATTTTTTTTTTTTGGCTGCGTTTTTTGCCAAAGTTTTGTTGCATGCTTTTGTGCGCATTCCATGGAGTGTGAAGTGTGAAATGTTGACTTCCATACCTGTTGGTCATTAAACTGGGCAGTTCGTAAGGACAGCAATAGATTCACGTGGAAAAAAATTTATTATTGCCAATTTGATTTGGTTTATGTAGTTTGTACCTGTTTTAGTGCATTTGGGCTATCAACGGTTCATGTTGAATTGTCTCTCCTGCACTTGCTTATAAAAATTATATCTCTAAGTCACTGGGCTATTGCATTTTATAATTTACATTTTGTTATTTTCATTAGTTCATTGCTATTTCATTTATTTGTTTGTGTAAACCAAAAAATTGTTGCAACATTGCTGTTTACGCTTACCTGTTGCATGACCAACAAGTCATTGGATTTGTTTATGTCTTCTCCCCCATGGAGCGTTTAGCGTTTAACTGAATTACATATTTGTAAATAAATAATGAATAAAATATATATACACATTTTTTCAAAATGTTTGCTGTGTTGTCATTGTATTAAAATCTGTTGACAACTTTTTAACTGGAAAATATATTTGCTTGCCGCCACGAGTCTGTCAAGTCACTGAGGATGAAAAATTGCCAGTTCTATTCACGCAACTGCTTAATATTGCTATTCAATTTGGAAACAATCGCAAATATTTTGAAATTAAACTGAATTTTTGAAAGTTTAAAATTAACAGCGTTTTTATCACTTATTTTATGCTGGTGTTTAAGTTGGTCTTCTTAAAGTTGTTTATTTGCTTGCTCTTAAATGCAATTCATAATTTGCGACTTGAAAGCTGATTGCACAGTTTGTGGCCAAAACCACTCTTATATTGTTGTTTCCCTAGTTCTCTGCGTTGCTACGCATTCTGATTCATCTGCCAAAATTTTGTATGCCAGTCAGCTTTCGTTGTGTCGTCATTTGCATTTTCCAAGCATTTATTGCATTTTGTTATGCGCCCTTATCAAAGAGCACAAAATAAAAACGAAAAGAAAACTTGGTTGTTGTTTTAAAAAAACAAAAGGCGAATTCTTAAAGAAATTTTCTTCATTGTACGATCTATATTATATTAAATCTATTTGATTATTGTTGTTTGTTTTTTTCACTAAATCATTAATGGCTTGCTTCATCATTGAATCTTAACTCGTTTCGTCTCTCTATTCAGGCATTTGTAATTGTTCCTATTTCGCGTTTCATTGTTGTGTTTCAATTCTATTTTCTGTTTTAGTATAAAAATATAAATTGCTTTATAAAACTTTATGTTGGTATTTTAAAATTGTACTATAAATTATTCCGGTTTTGAAATGCCGCCAGCGGCGTTTATGGAAAAGCCCCAACTGTCCCACTGAGCGACATTCTTCACTATTGCAACTAAAATGGCACAGTATTACCATGGACTAGAATCTACGATCCATGTCCACAGTTCGTTTATTTAAGTCTATTCATATTTTTTGGTTTTTTTTTTTTTTTTTTTGTTATTTATATATTTTTTACTTTATTTATTTTGTATATGAAATTTTGATTGTGATTTAAATTATACATATATCGTTTGTGTATGTATTGTATATATTATTATATTATTTATTTATTTTTACCATATCTCATAAAAGTGTAAACTAGGATGGAGTAACGGTGAAATGAAAATTCGATATGGTTGCCTCCCTGATGCGTATGCAAATGTTGTCAAAAACTACACGTACGTCGGAGTTGCGCTTTGGATTTTCCAATTGGTAACAGTGTATTGTCATCAACAATATTAATGTTATTTTAAATGAGAAATATTAATATCGATTATTATTTCTAAGTTGCAATTTTTTATTTTTTTCAGATTTTTGTTATTGTTGTTGTTGTTGTTGTTGTAAATATATTAAACATTTTGTTGTGAGAAAGAAAAAATATCACATTCGAGTTGTGAATGTTCCCCTGGGCTATTGTTGTCTTAAAATAAATTCAGAATGTGGCCTTATGCGTTAATACTTTGTATTTATTTATTTTTATTGAGCATGCAAGTGAAGTTGCTTGGTTTCAGTTAAGCAGTTCTCTTGCATTATTTTCGTTTTTCTGTTGTTGTCGTTACTTTTAATTAGCTTTTAAAAGGACTGAGCTTTTACGTTTTTACGCTTTTTTTTGTGCTTATATGCAACTTTTTTTTTTAATTTTTTTTTTCATATATCAATTTAATTTCGAATTTATCATAAGCCGAAATACCTATTTCGAAAATTTAAGTGGCCCTCCAGCAGATGGCTTGGATATACATATAAATAATATATAGTATATAAATGTGGAAAAACAAAACGTACGTTGCAAAAAAGTTGGCAAAGATATGAAATTAAATTGAATGTTTAGATAATTTAAATATTAATAAACAAAAAACAATATTTAAACATAATTGAATACTGCAAATAGAAGTAAAATGAGAGAAACAATGGAACATTAACATAATCTTCACTGAGTGGAAAATCAGTAAATCTAAATCAATATTATAGTAAACTAAGAAGAAATTAATTGAAAAGTATCCCAAACAACATCTGCCTGAAAGCACAATTAGATTGCAATATATTTGCAATATAATTTTTTCCTTATTATCTTCATTCTTTATAGTTATTTAACTGTTTTCTGCGAAAATACGAATGTATTTTTCAGTTGTAAATAATTACAAACAATACAAAATAGGATGCGTAATATTCGACTAGTACAAGGCACTGTCAAATGAAATGAAAACTTTGTAAATTTGAATTGTTTTTACTAAACTTAGTCCGGTTTGAGCACGTAGTGCAGCTTGTCTGATTCCACTGCGTCTCACTATTGCGTATTGAACAGAAGATGACCCTCTTACCAAAGAGTCTAATTTTCTTATATTTGATTTGTGATTTTCTTATGTTTCATTGATGGTTCTCATTTTGGTTTTACTCTTGCCAAATAAGTGATAAAAATTCCACACGTTTCAAATTTTTCTTTTACAATTTCTTATCATTTTTTCCGAAAGTGTGTGTGGTTTCGCCAAAGTAGTTCAATTTTGAATCGAATCGCGTTTGCTACTAAAAAAACGCAATTTGTGTTTTTATTTCACTCTTTTGTGATATATATCGAGACTTTGTTTTTCACTTATACTTTAATGTATATTTTTGATTCATTGATTTTCAATGCTTATTTTTTTTATTATATATATATAATATGTTTTTCCTTTACTTTTCGCTTCATGTGATCAGACTTTTTCTAACTCAGGATGTTGAATATTAAAATAAAAGTTTAATATTAATCATATATTTTTTGTATTCTCGTTTTTGGATCGAAATTATTTTCATAGCCAAACGTTGAGAACTGCATGTGATTAACACGTACAGTTCACAATTATTTGATATATACGCATTGTTGTAGTTGTTATCCAAAATGTTTGAATTAACTTTGAAACTGTTTGTGTTGCACAATTATCACAGTTGTCGGAGTAGTTTCCATTGTGTTTTGTGTTATTATTTGTCTTTATTAAATTGTTTATAATTTGCTTATCATTTTTATTTTACTAATTACTAAATTTATGGTATTAAATGGTTAATTGCAAGTATATTGACTGGAACATTACGGGATATTGTGTGGGAGCTTTTGGGGATTTATGGAGGGATGTTGGGAGATTTTAGTTTATATAAAAATGTGTTTAATACAATACTGTATTACCTGTCTGCAGACTCTATCGCTTTTCATAGTATCTGTAATGAGTTAATGAATTTTCATGCTTGGCCGTTAAAACACTTTTATATTCCAATTTCTTGGCGTCGTTATTTACCTGTTTGTAAAACTTTGTTATTTTTTTCTTTTGCTGTTTCATTATATACACATTGGCCAATTATGAAATGCACATATCTAGTAATTAGTTGTGAGCTTATGTACGATTATGTATTTTAATGTTATGTTTGCAGCGATTTTTCTCTGTTTGTTATTTCATTGGTTTTGTTAGTTAATAGTTTTGTATATTGGGTTTGACATTCCTGGCCGGTTGTGGTTTGTGAAGTCCCTCGTTTATTGCATTTTCCTGCGCAATCATTTGTCGAGTCCATATTGAAATCTTTTATTTGTTGTTATTTAAGCATTTTTATAATTCTAAAGCAACATATTTGCCACTCGAATGCTTTTTTTTTATCTGGTATGTACATATATAATATAAATTTTTGGTGTGCTAAAATGTTTAAAGCGAAATATTGTGGTGTAGTAGTGGAAACTGCATTGCTGAATAGTTGGAATTTTGCAATTTACGCAAAATGATAATGTTCATTCAAGTTTAGAATTTTTGGGTCGGCAGATTTATGCAAACATGCAATGGATTCATTTAACTCAAGGCAGACCCTCCTTTTTTACAACAGCCTATATACTCGTATGAAGAGTCGAAAAGGCCGGCGCTAATGCTTTGATATGAAAATATGGGAACCAAAAATGCTCTCTTGAGTCTCCCTTTTCTGTCGTAGAATAAAACAGTGAACAAATTGTCGTTGTAAATCACTTACAATATCAAAATGTTAATGAAATTCTGCTTGAACAGAGTAACCTGAAAATTATTGTTAATATTTAAGGGCTATTGTATTTATTTAATTTTGTACCGCTACGGTTAGCTTTTTCATTTTTTGTTTGTTGTATATTTTTTCAGCGTCACGAAATAGTTATATTGAAAACTTAATGAATTTTGTGTTGCCTAAAGTAATATTGGCCTTAAGCTTTCATCGAAAAATTTCAGAAGTTTGCATTGAAGTAGGTTTACGGTCACTCTGATTCCTTACGCTTTTGAAGCAGTAATTCTCATAACAATTTGAATATTCTAATTGATATATAATATGATATAAATAATATGGCTTACTGTAGAAGCATTGCCATTTTAAATACGTAAGTTCAAGCAGAAGTATGCAAAGTGGGGCCATGAAATTTTACTGTCTTTACTCTACTTTTAAATATCCAAAGTACGCGGCGCACATAGTCGTGAATATGATACGGTTCTATTCAAAAACGATAAGACATATGATCACTGAAATTAGCGTGCTCTATCCTAACTTAGGTTTTAGCCCGTCTGCCTTATGTGAGACGTTTAAATTGTTGAAAACTTAAATACTCTTTTGCAATTATCCGTGAGTCAAAGAGAATACTCGTACACTCGATAGTGCTTACCAAAGTAGATGTGCCGATTTTTTGTACTTGAATCCCTTAAATTTCGCCATATACATAGATATCCATGTCATTGTAAATAAATCCTTGAGAATAGGTGTACCTGGATGCCGTGTTTAAATGGAATTTCGAAACTTAATAAAAACGCCAAAATAAACACAAAAAGGCCAAATTTTTTGTTGTTGTATTTATTGTATTTGTTTTCTGTTTTACTTTAGTTTTTTTCTGTTAATTTTGTTTTGTTTTTCGTTTTTATAGTAATTTTTAAAGTAATCTTAATTTATTCAAGTAACTTAATGTGTTAGATAAGCTATGTATGTATGTATATTTATATGTATGCAGTATGCTTGTAATATGTATATATATACCTGTGTATGCATATGTAAGTAAAATCCATTTGCGAAAGCAAATGTGCAGTGTTAAAGTAGCAGTATAGCTTCGATATTTGGGGGGATGCCCCAAGCTATATCCAAGGAAATATAATTCAAGAAGCCTTAACTGTGTGAGCTTTATTTGTACTGGTTTTGTAGTACGGTATGATATATTAAAATTGTGCATTGTTCATAGTACAGTTATAAGATTAACATTCTATCATTTATACTTTTAAAATTATTTAAATGAATTTAACAACACAAAGTTTACAATAAAATAAATTAACTAAAATTTCAAATAAACATGTGTACAATTTCTTGAGCTAATGCTTTCTAATAATGTCGGTAATTTTGAATTTAGGAATTTTAAATATTTTGCCAAGTTATCAAATAATATTTTATATAAATTTTGCCTAAAATTTTATCCAAACATTTTATGAGTTATAACTTGTTTTCTTTGTTTGTCTCTTTAACGTTTATTGTTAAAATGCCTTAAAATTTCCTAAACGTTTTTCTTTATGATTTTTTTTTTATAACATAGTGTTTCCAAATTTTAATTAACTATTTTTTTTTTACAAAGGAATTTTGTGTAAACGCCTTGGAGTTGTAATTTGGAATAACTCCAAGAGACGTTTACATTGGTTTGTTCCGAAACAATAATGAGTTGTTCTCGAATTTATCACAAAATCAGTTACATTTGTAGTATTTTTTATAAATAGTTTATAAGCCGAAAAAAGTATTTTTTTTTTCATTTTCTTTTTGTTATTAATTTAGTAAAGGCATTAACAATTAACGAATGAGATTCGAAACTTGTCACTGCAATGGCATAAACATAGAAAAAGAATGAATTTTATATTAAAATTACGTAATGAAACTTATCATAAAAATAAAAAAGCTCATGTAGAATTTGCTTATACGAGTGTACGTACATACATAATTCATTTGCATGCATCCAAGCATTTGACTTTAATATTTGCTTGTATTATACATATATAATAATATGCCTTTGAGTGCACTTGCAATCTTAGGCAAAAAATAGCTCCCAATAAACATAAATATAAACTTTATGTAATTATATTTTTCGTGTTTTGTTTTTTTTTTTTTGGAACACTTACGACCAAATTAAAAGAAAAACACATTTCGTCCTCTCAATTGCGTGGCTGATTGTTGTAATTTCTTTCCATAGATATTCAGATTTTATGCTTCTGTGAGATCTCAGCATTTTCACAATACAATTTCAAATTTCAAAATAATACATAAATTATACATTTAAAAATAAAAATAAATATAAAAAAATTAATTTTAAATTAAAGTTTTTGGACATTGTGATCTAGAGTTGAGTGGAAGTAGGAGTTGTGACATTCGCGACATCTAGAGCGAAGTGGAAATGGAAAAATCATGATTGATTATATTATAATTGTCGAAAGTTCCCTCTGAATACTCATATGCACATTTGACACATATGCAAATAGCATACATAAAACTATTAGTTTTTGAGATATAGAAAAATTAATTTTCCCTCATATGAATTCAAATCATGAATTGTTGTGAGATTTCAGATTATGTTGGAATATGTGAGGAAACAAATTTTTTTTTGGAGGTCAAGTTGTATTGTCACAAAGCCTCTCTTGAAAAATTAGTGAGTTTATTGAAAAAAGTTTAATCCAGTTTCTAAATTTCCGGGGTGTAATTCATTTTAAAAGGTTAGTAAATTCAATCTTACAATTTAATTTTAAACATTTTTCTTTAAAGAGAATTTTTTGAAAATTTTTTTTAAATTTTTTCCCTTAAGCAATTCTTTCGTGAAGTTTAATGGTTTTTTTTTTTAGGTTCTTATATTCATGTGGCTGCTCAGGGAATAATTTTTTTAATTTTTAATTTATGTACAGTGGTGAACTAAAGAATTAGCACAGCAAGTTAGTTCAACTTTAACACCTTTTTTTGACCACTTATGAAAATATATAATTATTTCATTTATTTTTCGTTTCATTGCAACAGCAAACCAAACAATAACGAAAGTAAACTTAAGCCCCTAAGCCCACCCTAATTCCAGGTATCAACACACGTGATAATGTCCCCATATTCGTTAAAGTTCGCTTGGTTTCAAAGTGTGTTTAAATGAATATAAGTTTTAAATAGGAAATAAAAACGCTTGAAATAAATTTCAGATTACATATATATTTGGTTTAATTGAATAAATAATAGTTTATACAATATTTAGATATGTTGACGTCTAAATCAAAGGCAAAAAGCTTGAAAACTTAATATTAGAAATTCTCTATATTTAAATAATATTTACAGCTTAAATTAATAGTAAAGAAAAAATAAAGAGAAGACTAGTGAAAACATGTAAATTGTGTTGGTGTGCAAAAACTACTTAAATTAAAGTGATTGTCAATTTATGTAGGCGTCACTGTGCGATTTAAATCGTTGAAATATTTTTTTTATTCTGCATTATTCTGCCTGCAGCTGCATACAACATTTGAATAATTACACAACTAAATTAGAAAAAAAATGTGAAATTAAAAGATCTCAACTTAGCAACATAGCAAGGCCCTCATCATAAAAAATCAGTTTATTTAATAAAAAAAAATTATGATGACATCGTGAAATAAACTAATTTCTTATAAGAAAGGTCTTAATATCGTTTTGAATGTTGTAAAAATGCCGATCTCACTCGTAATTCTTTTAAATATATAGTGGTTATATATTTATATTTCAATATCTGAGCAGGTGATTTGCGTTGGAAATATTTTGAGCGTCTTGATCACTGCACAAGATGTAACCGTAAGAATGGGAAATGGGCATATTCAATATTTTCTTATTTGCAGGAAATAATGAATATGCATAGTTTGTAATTTATGTTTTTTAAATGATCATGTATGTACATATTATATATTTATGCAATGCTGAAAGCTTAAAATTCTTCAATATATATTTCTTACGTATTACAAATAACAATAATAAACATATATATATATATATATATATATATATATATATAAATTATTTTTGTGTAATCGCATATGAATTATGTTTGTTTGAGTGTGTTTGCTTTTGAATTGGTGAAGCGATTGATAAATGAATTCTTGTCTTAACTAACATTATACTTTATGTGATATTCAGGTGAAAGTATTTGTATTGTATGTGACATGCATATGTGTGGGTACGTGGGTAATCGAGTTCGTGTGTGTGTGTGTGTGTTTGCGTAGCTATATGTATGTCCTGTAAACAAATCCAAACGACAACTTAACATGGATATTTCAAATATATATCTGATTTATGTACATATGTATATATGTATGTACAGTAATAAATTAAAAATTTGTATATAGTATTTCTATTCGTTCTAGCAGATGCAGTTTGCACTGATATTTCCATAGCCACTTTATATTTTGTTGTATGCAATTTCTTTTTCTGAAAGAACACAATGGCCTTAGGAATACGTGTAGGCATATTACATAAGGCAATTACTTCTCTGTAAATATGTATAACAGGGTTATGTGAGTGCATGATAATGCATTTATGTACGTATGTGTGTTAATGTTTGTTTCTATATTGAGGGTAAGGTGTGTTCTTCTATTGCTAAAGCTTTGGTTCCATCCTTCGTATCGAAGAATGATAATGCACCATTAACGGTAAGTGCTGTGAATATTTGATATTACAATAAAATAAACGTGGACTTTTTGTTGTTTGTCGTGTCGAAATGATTTGCAAAATACCCAACAATCGTTAACAATCAGGACCTTTTCGTTTTTGGTTTTTCTTGAATAACTTTTTTTTTCGTTTTTCGTTTTTGGTTTGTAGTTTTTGTGTTACTTTTGTGAACGCAATTCGCGAATGAAAACTGAAAAAGTGATTTATAGCAAAAATATTGAAATGCTTGCGAAGTTTTGTTTAGGATTTGCTTGCAGCAGCCTGTGAAAATTACCTTTTGGTCAACAAATCATTTTCATAGTATTGTAATTCTTTTGTCCAAAATTTGTCGATATTTTTCCTTCGTTTATGTATTTAACGTGGTACTTCAATTGACGTTCATATGTCAGTATGTATGCACATAAATATGAAATTTGTAATAATTTTAAATAATTAATCTTAATTTAAAGTTTTTATCTTTCTTGGTTTCAAAATGTTTGCGTCAATATGTTTGTCGTTTAAATTTGGTTTCTAAATTTGCGTCCCGTTTGTTGTAAGCTATCTCACACTTCGATCGTTATGCTATTAAAAGCTCGGCGTAGTGAAAAGGATACATATGTATGTAAATGCTATGAATTAAAGGAATTAAAATTAAATATCGTTAAATTAATTGATGCTCCCCAAATTTTGTTGGTATGAATTTACAACTACGCTTGCTAAATCGGTTAATGCGTTTGTTGTTGTTGTTGTTGTTGTTGCAACTTTTATTGCGCTGGCTGTGGTCGCTGTTGACGCTGCATGCACATTTGTTGGTATAGCTGCTTTGGATGCTGCTGCTGCTTCTGCTAGTGATGCTGTTGTTGTTATTGTTGTTGTTGTTGTTACTTTTGTTGTCGAAACTTTCGAAGTTTTGATTGATTTGGATTTGCGTTTCAAATTTGTACGAAGCATGTTAATAACGCGATTGCGTTCACTTTCCTCTTATTCCAATTGTTCCAAAAAGTTGGGTGACTTGAAATATTCGGGCACTGGATCGTCCATGCGCGAAATGACCTTATAGATTGCCTTCTTCCACGATTGTTCGGTATCTTTACCACCTTTGATGGCGCGAAAGAATTCGCGAAGTGTTTGCTCGATCACAAAGCGAAAATTTTGCGGTACCTGTATACAAAATATAGAAAATAAATATGTAAATCAAATAAAATAAAAATTCGTAAATAAAATAATAAAATCATATTCAAACACAAACTTATATACATACTATGTGTATATTGTTTACTACAGTATATATATATATATATATATATTAGTACCTCAATGTGATTATTGCGATTATAATGCAGATTCAAAACACGATACAGCTCGCTGTCACCGCCAACCTGTAGCTCATCAGCGCAGTTGACGCCTTCAGTAACCGCCTGCCGTGCATACTTCTCCATTTGGATGTAGTAGAATTCTCTGCAAGTGATAAATAAATATAAATTTAGTAAATATTTTTGATGCTAAAAATTATTATGATTTTTTCCAATGACATACATACATATATTCAAATTTAATTTTTCTGCAGCTTAAATTTAAATAAAATAAAAAAATATATAAAGCCTAAATCTATCAACCGCAATATACATTGAAATTGTTCATATATAGTTATTAATAATAACAGCAACAACAACCTCATACTTTGTAATGCATATTTGCTTTTTACACCGCATAGAAGTTGCAGGTAAAACTATTTGCATATTTTCTATGTTAAATTTTTGGGCGGAAAAATATAAAAAAATATATAAACTACTAGCTGTACCCTGCAGCGCTTCGCTGTCGCATATCTCATTGAATGTATGAAAAACTAATAATGGAATATCTTTTTATCATGAGTTTGTTTACTCAATACTTGGGGAATACAAATTTTTTGGTTTTACCATTAAAATTGGTCCACTTCCCGGAGAGAGAAACTTTTTGAATAAGCAAGTCCCCGGAGAACCGTAAAAACGATATTTTCCAATAAGTCAGTCGCTGGTCCACTTCCCGGAGAAAATCATAGTCTTCCTGTTAATCGAAGCAAAAAGACACGAATGTGCCAAATTTAAAGTAAATAGAACCATAAATTTTTCGATTAGTCCCTGGTCCTCTTACCCCTGTGAAACATAGATGTTATGCTTTTCTCGGATGCACCAAAAAATTCATTAAAATCAGTGAGTATCGTGTCTAACACTGAGACACGAGAATTTATGTATGTATTTATTAGATAAGATCGGTCCCGCCTACGAAGGTGGTTAGATACTGCAAGAGATTTAATATCAAGTCATATTATATAGGGACCATATTGCTTATACCTGCTTGACACGTCCAATCCCTGCCATGAATAACTTCATTTGTATGATATTCATTGAGAAATTAGTTAGTAGAGCGTTTTATTTGCAGAAATGGTTCAATTCAAATATGCTAATTGTAAGTAAATTGAAAGTTTCTGTGTTCTCTGTCTTCCATTGCTCATCTCAATTGGATCTACTTTTCGGTGCAAGCAAAAAATTATGAGTCCATCAGCTGCTGTTGATAGGAGATATTTTGATTGTGACAAGACTTATGTATACACCAAACAGACCAACCATTCCAAAAACGCACTCATTCATGCTTTAAAGAAAAGTACTCATAAGAACAATAACAACGGCATCCCGTTCGCAAATAAACCTTATATTGTATGTATATTTATGCAGCAGTATTGTTGGCCACACTGAAGGCAGTTTCACTAGCAACAGACCTATCCGCAGTTGCAGTAACGACAACTGAAAATATTTAGTCAATGTCGCCTCCGGGGAACTTGTGCGAACAATCGTCGCGAAGCTGCTTTTAATTTGACTTCCAAGTTATCAGCAGCATTGTGTAGTTATGCATTTACAAGGCCTACACGAATATACATATATATTGTGGAAAAAGCAACGATAAAAAAATAGAAACAGCAGCAATAGCTATAAGCGCAACGATTGCGATTGCTACTTGCCGATGCGCGATTTTGATATTTATTGTTTGGAAAAGTTGGCGCTGTCAGTTGTCATCTAAAGCCCATTCCATGTTCGAGTGCAATGTTTTCATATCCGTTTCTGCTGCAATAACTTGAGCTGTTTACGCCAGCTGTTGGCGTCGTAATGAAAGAAGAGCGAGTGCTTTGGGAAATCTTGAAATTAGCGCGATTATCAAACGAGCCATATATAACAGTACAGCCAGCGAACAAAAGGATACAAAAAATGGTTTGCTATGAGGGCGGCGTGGCGTCTTTCACCGTAAACAGCTCGGAATTGTTGTGAAATGTTGACAATTACGGGAGACACATTATGTACAATGGAAATGTCAACGAGCGTTGCATAGAAAAAAAAATATAAATAAGAATAAAAATGGTGAGACAATTGCGGCTTGACGTTGGCGTATGGGTGAGACAATTTGCAAAGAATGGCACTTAATTTACTTTATAGGCTATTGACGACTATAAAGAATTACGCAAATATTATCAATTTAGAAAAATTCGGTGTTGAAATATTTCGAAAACCACCTACTCATACTTTTATAAAACTAAATGGGCACACACTAATCCGTACAGCGCATTATGCACTTTTAGTTATGAATCTAAACAATGTTACATATCTCTAGAGTTTTTCTAAGGTTTTATTCTGCAGCCTCTTCATACACCCCAATTACATATATATATATATATATATATATATATATATATTTCAATTACTTGATTGCAGTTGTTCGTTACTTCTGTTTCAGCTTATGCTCCTGCAACTATCTTTTAATTTCCTAATTGCTGTCCCGAAATGCATTTACACGTAGCATCCCAGGTGCCTTTTCGAATATTCTTCATATTTACCTGAAGCAAACAAAGAAAATTTCTATTCTCAATAAATGCGTCGAGTTCTTCGAGACTCATTAAAATCTTCCCTCAAGCCCAAGTTATTTGCAATCGCAAAGCTTTTGCTAATTAAAGCATTTCCCTCAACTAAGCCCATCAGCCTACATCAATCCATTTCAGTGTGGCTTCGGCTCTGCATACTTAGAAGATAGCATATGAAAGCAAAATGAAAAAAAAAAGAAAAAAAATGTTAATGCAAATATTGCTATTGCAAACTTCGGTGCAGCTTTGCTCATAACGTAATAGTCGAACGTTGCAATGCGAGTGCATGCGGGGAAGGGACAAGTATTTAACGTCTAAGTGAACGAGCGTACACCCCCTGAAGATTGACTGATGCACATTCGAGATTTATTAAAAATTCTTTACAATAAGCCATCCGACCGGCAAAACAATGCTGGTGTAAAGCACAAGTATTCTGCGCTGTTTCCTTTATAATAAAGCCCACAGCTAAGCTATTTCAGGTAATACATTGATTGCAACAATATGAATTCCTATTATATTTAGGTGTGTGTGTGTGTGTGTGTGAGTCAAAGCGTGGAAATTTCTTTGCTGAAGCTCTTCAAAAGAGGTTTTGTGTGAGCAACTCTCATGCGCCTACAAGTATGCCGCAAATTATTAATAATGTCGTATTAATCTCATCTAATAATGCATTGAGCTTTATTGCATACAACAAACGAAGAGCAAAAATACTGAGACGAAGAACGCTGAACACAAAAGTGCACAGTGCTTTGTCTCTACCTTCACTGACTGGGTATCCAATGAAAACAGAGTCGCAAATAAGTGTAGAATCATTCTTCTAGGGAAGTATAGAAATCTCCGCTTCTGTCTTGTTGTCAATATATAAATTGTTCATATATATGTATTGTTGCCAATATATAAATTGTCCATATATATGAATTGTTGCCAATATATAAATTGTTCATGTATATATACTTATATATTTGTATTATTTATAAAATAATGCTTACTTTTTTCAATTTCATAAGGTGGTTTGCATACTTATTTGTATCTATCTTTTTATTACTTTGTAAGTAAGTAAGCTTATCGAACCCAATAAGATGTGATAATTGTAAGAAGTATGAGAAAATAATCAGATCCGAGCACCGTTCGTATTCGTATGCATATACATACTCGGCATAACATAAAGTAGGTGCCTTCAAGTAAAGAAGGCATTCGTACCAATGTGACAAGAAAAAATGCACCTTTCCGTTAACGAAGGCAAACAACGGTTGTTTAGTGAATGAACAAGCGGGCGAAGAAACGGTTGAATGGAGAAAAGTGGATATTTTAACACTAAACTGAACACTCAGTCCTGTTAAGTGGAGTAGAAAATAAAAGGAGCCTTACCCCATGCACATTAAGTAGCAGATAGTAATGTATGGAAAGCCAAAATCCCATCCATGTTAGCATGTTTACAGGGGCTAACCATATGTATTTGTGTGTATGTATGTATGCATGTCTGTATAATTTCATAAGAGCGAGGTGATAAGTATGGAGTGTGCTCGTAAGTGGCGCCACTTTGGTATAAAGAGACATCCTTCTTTGCCTTTTTTGTTAATTTTGAATGCAAGAAGTGCACTTTTAGGCGCATATATACAGTTCTATTTATTCATTTTCCCATAACATATATACATATACATATATGTATAAGAGATATACACCCACAAGGGCAGCGTGTGAGTATTGTACTTGAAGGAGTGTGCCATTGTTGTGGCAAGGCTAACCAACAAAGCAAAGTAGGCACTCCATTAAAAAGACAAACACATGCTCACATAAGTAGGTATGAGTGTATGTATGTATGTATGTATGTACGAGTATGTATGCATGCATATACACAATTATCTGCATTAAGAAATAAAAGTGTGGAAAAAATGTCGAAGGACCTTCCCTTGTGTACGGAGGCGCACATAAGGAGTCATAATTGCAATATTTTTGTTTTTAATTAAAAGGAATTTCACAGTGGCGCAAATACTGGAGCGCTCCTACAAAATAAAGCAAACCAAATAGTAAACGTAAAGAAATCAACTCGCGAATGTTTAGTCATATATGTATGTATGTATGTATGTATTTACATATAAGCGGTCGCTTTTGCTTTTGTAAATGTCTATCAGTGGATAATGATGACATAATCATGACTAAAATAGTGAGTGGCAGTGCTATTTAATTATAAAAGAAGGTATTTGTTGTATAAAATATGCCAACAATTGCTAATTAGTTTATTTAAGACGTTGGAAATAAATAAGAATGTCCATACATACACATGTATATATACTGATACATATAGATTTGGATTTAATAAACAACAAAGAGGGTATATGAAATTGAGTGGCTGTAGTAGAGGAGAAGAGGAGAAGAGAACACACTGTAAACTACTAAGATGCCATATTTACAGGGTCCGATTAGCTGGCTTTTGCTGGCTGGTTTCTAGGGTCCCCTGAAAGCGTCAATTAGCATTCCAGCTGTGGTGATACTTATTCGTTTATGTATTATATATATGAGTGTATGTACGAGTATGCACATAAGTTGTACGAGTTGGGCTTGCAAATGCTCA